TTGTAAATGGGATCACAAGTCCGCATCTTGTACAGCAATTAACCACTAAGAAGAATATATGCAGTGTATTATTTGTTGAAACTGTCCTTCCGATATGATTTGAAGGTGTCTCATTGCTATCTGTTTGTCAATAAAACTTTGAAAATAAAATAAAATAAAATAAAAAAACAATTTAAACTAACGGAAAATAAAAGTGCATTTGTGCTCCTGCATTTAAAAAAAGAAAGAAAAAAGAAATGAAATACAGGGCCTTCAAATAGCTCAGCAGATGAAAGCACCGGCAAGCAGGTGTAGGGGCCAGGGGTTCCATCTCTGGGCCTGCCATGCTGGCCCCCTCCCCCAAGGTGCTCTGAGACTGGCAATTGAGACTGGGTGTGTGACACGCACCTGTAATCCCAACTCTTGGGAGGCTGTAAATAGGTGGATCACTATGAGTCTGATTTAGTAGTGAGACCCTGAACACCCTGTAGACTCTTTCCTAAAATAAAATAAAATAAAAATAAAAAAAGAAATGAAACAGAATTTCATTATCAAAACAATAAGAATTCGACAATGGTTGCTACATTGAATAATGTTTTTAATGGAAGGAGCCTGGGTTAGTCAGCTTTGTATTACTATAGGAAAATGTACCTGAGATAATCAATTTAAAGAAGGGAGAAGCTAATCTTGGCTCACAGTCTTTGAGGTTGCCAGCCATGATGGCTGAATTTATGCTTTTGGGCTGAATATATAGTATTTTATAACCACAAAGTTTTTGTTTAAGATAGGCACAAGAAGTTGAAAAGTTCATTCTAAACAAAATTAACCAAAGTCATGCATCCTAAATAAATAAATAAATAAATGAAGAATATTATCATAAAAAAAAATCCTTCCCAGAGATTAACAAATAATTTGTATTCTCTGCTAGGAAATATTTTATACTCTTACAGTAATTACATAGGCAGAAGTTAAAGTATACACTTCTATTTTCTATTTATTAGGCTAGCAAAAGAAAAAACCAATTGGTGAACACTGCCAGAATAAAAATGGAGTCTTTTGTGTCAATCTCCAACAAAAATAAGAATAAATGAAGAAGACCATGCACATGTGCCTTATAACAAGAATCATTTGCAAAAGATGCCAGAACCAAGCTTTTGTGAAGGCTGTGAGTCTTACACTGTTACAGTTCATCTCTATGTGCCCCTCCAAAGCCTCATGCAGTCACTGGGCGGACTTGTAGTTTGTGATTAACTCATGATCCACTGGGATTATGAGTGATCCAAGACTGGGATTATGGGTCTGAGTACTGCTGGGATTATGAGTATGAGTACTACACCCAGTCTGGGGTGGATAGCCTGAGTGTAACATAAGACAGACAGAGAAACAGACTTGCTCTCTGTTGCCATTGTTACTGTTACTTCTCCCTGTGCTCTCTTCTCTTTGCTGCCATCATGAATGGTCATCCTCTGTCATGTACTGCTTTGCCTTGGAGCCAGCTGAGTATGGACTGAAACCTCCAGTAATTATGAGCTAAATAAACCTTCTCTTCCTTCATTTTGAGTGTCAGATATTTGTCCCAGCAATGAGAGAAAGTGTAACCGAGACATACGCAAAAAGTACTTCTGCAAAGATATCTGCTGAACAACTGTCTATTTAATCTTAGGCTGACTTCCCCTTTGATACTGGTCCTTGTTGCCAAAGGTGATTGTCTCAAAATAGTTTAAATAATCCTCTGCATTTTGCCATAGGAAATCTCCTGATCTCACCCTCCAGGCACACCTACAGAGCTCACCGTGACACGCAGGTTCTCCCTGCAATGTTCATCCCCACATAAGCTTCATCTTGGAGATTCTTAACCTGCGTGTTATTTAGATGGGCAACCCCCTAAGTGTCACTCAGAAAGCAATTCATGCTTTTTGTTGTGAAGGAGTTTGAACTAGCTTATTATCTCTAATCTTGATCCATCATAACCTTACAAAAGATCAGAATGCACTTCCTCCTCTAGAGCCTGCTTCAGGTTCTGGCTCCTCCCCTGCAGCCAGAGCCAGCCCCTCTCACTAGGACACCAAACGTACTCAAGTCTTTCTGCTTCCTCACAAGCACTTCCTCACCAGCGATGGCTACCTTTGTGGAGCTCAGCACCAACGCCAAGATGCCCATCGTGGGCCTCGGCACTTGGAAGGTAAATATGCAAATCAAGGGCCCCTGCTCTCCTACAGGGGCTTTTGGGCCTGTTTTCTTCTCTGTCTCTCCTCTTGCCAGGGTTTCCGGAGATGAGATTTAGCTCAAGAATCAAGATCCAAGTAATTTTCCATTCTTGGCGCTGCACCACAGCCTTTCTTGGTTTTTTTCTAGCAGCAGCGAGAACTTTTCCAACAAGTTTTGAGTTTCAAACAGGAGTTAGGCTTGTTTTAACAAAATATTTGTTCTTTTAGTTGTTTTCAGGGAAGTTACTCTCTTAGTCATTTCCTCCCTGGTGGTAGTTCTGAGCAGATAGAGGAATCTGGTCAGACCAGCTCATCTTCAGTGTGGTAGAATTCAGATTCACCCCGAAAGGTCCTTATTAGTGCCTGAGGACTGGAAGTTTCTCTGTACTGTGTGGGAGTCTAGCGTAGCTGGTCGAGTGACAGAAAGGATGCAGAGTTTTGAAAGAAAGCCTTGGCTCTCTGCCTTTGCTGCCTTGGCTGCAGAAATTGGACTGGCAGCCTTGATCGTAATGTTTTTATTTTTTGGTACTGGAACTCAAATTCAGGACCTTGTGCTGGCCAGGCAGGCATTTAAGCTACTGAGCTATCTCCCTAGCCCTCAGCATTAGTCTTGATGGTGTGCTTGCTAGAAACGTAGAATCTCAGGCCCCGCCCATGCTGCTGAGTCAGCGTCCACACTTCCATCCCCACCTGGTTCAAGTGTATATGAAAGTCTGAGAAGTGCTGGGGCCAAGAGAGACCAGGCTGGAAACTGGGAGCTCCCCGGAGCCCTGGCTTTGTGTAGGTCGCTGACAAATGCTGTGACACCCACCCCAGGCACCCTGTGAAGCAGCTGCAGGAGCCTCTGGTAAGCTTCCAGGAGCTGTCTTTGTATCTCACTTTTCTCCATCCTCAGGCCGCTTCTGTGGTCTATCTTCCTCCACTCTTACCTGTTCTGCCCAGACTCTAATTTCCTCCCCTTGGAGAGGGTAAAATCCCTCCTCCTTTCAGCACTAGGTTTCTGTAGTGTGGGGTTTCATCCTTTGTTCTGATTGAGCACCTCAATGGTGATACATTCAGTCTCAGCCTCTCTTCTTAAACAGCAAGATTTTCCCCAAGTCAGAACTTTAAAGCAAGCAATAAATAATTACTTCTTCCAGATCGCTAGTGAATATGCTCATCGTGGATAAATTTTGCAGAAATTAATTATCAGGATTTCAAAGGTAGATGTGCAGGCTGTGACATGAGCTGTTTACAAGACAGATGATTAAAAAATTCAAAGGACTTTATACATATTGCTGGTTAGGTGGGGATCCTGGAGTGCTTCTGTGCTGCACACAATTTTTCATTCTGGAGTTGGAATCTCTCTGTCTCTGTCTGTCTGTCTGTCTGTCTGTCTGTCTGTCTGTCTGTCTGTCTCTCTCTTTCTCGTGTGTGTGTGTGTGTGTGTGTGTGTGTGTGTGTGTGTGTTTTGTTTTATTGTTTGATGCATGGTCTATTTGTATAGTCAAAGATGGCTTGCACTCACTCTGTAGCCCAGTTTGGCTTCAAACTCACAGTGATCCTCCTGCCTCAGCCTCCTGAGTGCTGGGATCACAAGCATGTGCCATCACACTCAGCTCTGTTTTATACTCTTTGAAATGCTTGTTGCTGTACAAATGATACGATTTTGTGTTTGTTGTGTTGTGTTTTGTTTTTGACTGAGGGTTGGCCATACTGGGGATTGAGCTCAGGGCTTTCACACTGAGTTTCTGTACCCCCAGCCCTTTTTTATTTATTTATTTATTTATTGAGATAGAGTCTCACATATTTGCCTAGGTTGTGCTCACATTTGAGATTCACCTGCCTTACCCTCCCAGAGTGCTGGGATTGCAGACATGCATCAATTCTTTGCTCATTGGCTTGGCAAGGTTACAGCAGAATATGTTATTTCCAGAGTAGTATTTTTCTTCTTCTTCTTCTTCTTCTTCTTCTTCTTCTTCTTCTTCTTCTTCTTCTTCTTCTTCTTCTTCTTCTTCTTCTTCT